TACCATTACTACTACTACTACTACTACTACTACTACTACTACTACTACTACTACTACTACTACTACTACTACTACTACTACTACTACTACTGACTACTACTGCTGCTGCTGCTGCTGCTGCTGCTACTACTACTACTACTACTACTACTGTTACTTCTACTTTTACTATTACTATCACGCCTACTACTACTACTACTACTACTACTACTACTACTACTACTACTACTACTACTACTACTACCACTACTACCACTACTACCACTACTACCTCTACCACTACTACGATCCAGCAAAAGACGCGCGAGATCCCAACCGCAATAACTCAGGCGTAAATCTGCTCCTGTAAGGTGTTTATCGCAATATCCGATAGCAATGAACAAGCATGGTGACATTTCAAGGGTTGGGATCTGACCGTGCCTGGTGTTTTAGACGGTTGGGATCTGAACCGTCCGGTTGGGATCTCACGCGTCTTGTTTGGGATCTGAACCCATCGCCGAGCCCGGGGGGGGGCCACGGGCGCCCCCCCCCGTCAGCCGACGGCAGCCCAACACCCTCCCGTCTCCCGTGGGGGAGCCTCCTCCACTCCTCCTGCTCCTCCTCCTCCTCCTCTTCCCCCTCCTCCTCCTCCTCCTCTTCCTCCTCCTCCTCCTCCTGTTCCACCTCCTCCTGTTCCTCCTCCTCCTCCTCCTCCTCCTCCTCTTCCTCATTCTCCTCCTCCTCCTCCCTCTCCGCCTCCTCTTCCTCCTTTCCCCCCTCCAAAGCCCGCCCCCGCGTCTCGGCACCCTGCTCCCTGCACCCCCGCTGTCGATTCCTTCTCCGGCGCGTCCTTCCCCGCCTCCTCATCTCCTCCGCCTCCGGACCCCCCGCCTCTCCTCTACCTCCATCTCCCATCATCCGTCCACCTTCATCCTCCTCTTTCCCTCCTCCTTCCTACCCTCGCCCGCGTCCTCTACGGTTGCGCCCTCCCCCAATCGAGGACCCCGGGGGGGAGGGCACCGATGTGATGGTGATGTTCGCAACAGCCGTGCTGCGCAGCATGCGCAAGAGCTTGCTCATCACCGACAGCCACTCACCCAGGGCCTTGTCCTGGTAGGAGGATCGGTGTCTCCCACTCCTTCTGCTCCACCTCCCTCCCCCTCATCCTCCTCCAACACTTCGGTCGCTCTCAAGGCCCCAGGACACTTCGTACGCAGCTGTGGCAAAACAGGGTGAATTGCCAGGCTGCAAGTTCCCGATGGCGCTGGTCCAGCTGCTCACGATCTTCTCCATGGACGCTTTCGTGGACCTGGTCAGGCCCACGCATCTGAACCCCCCCGTGGGTGTCACCCTCACGCTGCACATGTTCGCCGACGACCTCACGCTGCAGGTCATGTCCCAGCAGCGCAACCTGCTGCAGATGTCGGCTGACACCGTCCAGCTGCTCTGCGACACCCTGCGGGGCCTGGGCCTTCCCGTGGTCATGCGGACTGCCTGGCGGTCGCAGCTCACGACCCGAAGCAAGCCGGACGCACACGACGGGCCCCGCGGGCGTCTTCTGGAGGTCGCTGGCCGAGTTGGGCCGGATCTGCTCTTCGGCCTCTGCAGTGCGCACGCGTGGATGCGAAGTGTGAAGGGGCCCTGGAACACACAAATGAATACACAGAAATAAAAATATTCGCCATGTGTTCCCATATGTTCTGGGTTCTTGTCTTCCCCCCCACTTCCAATAGTTTGCCAGATGTTCTGGGGAATCGAAGATTGATTGTGTCTGTGTGTTTTTTTCCCTCCTGACAGTGCTCGACCTTCGTCAAACTGCACCGTCGGTCGTGAAGTGGCTTGCCCTACAGGACTGCGAGGCCCCTGGTTGGCCACCACGGTCGGGCCGTGTCGAGGTCACGCCTACGACCCCTGGCCAGGCCACAAGAGCCCCGCCAGGGACTGGCGAGCGCCGATGCGTGGTCTGCTGCAGCCGGGTCTGAAGGCCCAGCGCTGGGTGCTGGAGCCACTGGCTCGCGCTGCGCTTCGGACCGCCGCGCGCGGGGCGCACTGCTCGCAGAAGGGGCTTCACCGGTGCGCGCACGCCGACCACTCTTACTGCCTGCAGTGTGGCGGCGCACAGGGCACCCTGCACCATCGGCACTGGTGGTGCCCCGCCTTGGCCGAGTCTGGCCATCGCTCGGACGTCCATTCCCTGTGTTTTTTGTTCAGTTTCGTGCGTGTTTTTTTTCGCCGAATGATCAAGGATGCTCCTCGATAGTCCTCGCCGAAGGGAAAATACACACGCCCGAGCGATGCCAAGGAGTAGCGCGAGCACGCTGTTCGTGGGGATACAAGGGCACGCACCCTAACGCTGCCCCGCCCGCGCTGCCGCCGCGCGACGACTCGGGCGCCTGGCGCGACAATCGTGAAGCACGCTCGGAGCATTGGCATCAGCGCGGTCACGGCGCACACGCACGGCTCGCGCAAGGAGTTTCGGCACCCGGGCGCTGCGGCGCAGAGCTGGGCAGGGTCACGCGGTGGCCGGTGACTGCCAATACTGTTGGGCCGTCTTCGGGCCTCCTCCTGTGATGGGCTTGCTTTCCACCACCACCACCATAAGTTGGAGGCGGAGGCGGTCCTTCTCCTCCTCCTCCTCCTCCTCCTCCTCCTCGTCCTCCTCCTCCTCCCCCTCGTCCTCCTCCTCCTCCTCCTCCTCCTCCTCCTCCTCCTCCTCCTCCTCCTCCTCCTCATCCTTCTCCTCCTCCTCCTCCCCCTCCCCCTCGCCCTCCTGCTCCCCCCCAAACTTATGGTGGTGGTGGTGGTGGGAAACGGGCCCATCACCCTGGGCCTCGCCGGACTGCTGGACGCGCCGAGCTGGCATGCCGCGCCGCGGGTGCTCGCTGCGGGCGCGGCCCCATTCTGCAAGCACGCGGACCACCTGCCGCTGCTGGCCGGGCCAGCGCGGGCGGCGCCAGAGCACCAGCGCCCCGGCGCGAGCACGTCGAGCTCTGGAAGAGGCTGCACCGCCAGATCGACGGGCACGGTGAGATGGAGCCGGGGCCTGGTGGTGCGCCGCCCCAGCGCGCCACGCACGTGAGGGGGAATGGGCGCGAAAAAAAAAAAAAAAAAAAAAAAAAAAAAAAAAAAAAAACAAAAAAAAAAAAAGGGCTCCCTGTGAAAAAAAAAAAAAAAAAAAAAAAGAAAGAAAAAAAAAAAAAAAAAAAAAAAGGGGCCGGCTGCAACGACCTGCGGATCAGGCCGCAACGCGGACGGCGCCCACAAGGCGGACGGCGCCCACACGACCTGCCTCAGGCCACGTGGAGATGCACAAAGGGGCCTTCGCCAGGCTGCGCCAGGTTGGCCTCCTGGATCGCAACGCTCTCCAAAAAAAAAAAAATAAAGAAAAAAAAAAAAAAAAAAATAAAAAAAAAAAACAAAATAAAAAAAAAAAAAAAAAAAAAAAAAAAAAAAAAGTCCAAAAAAAACAAAAAAAAAAAAAAGAAACAAAAAAACAAAAAAAAAACAGAAAAAAAAAAGAGCTGCTCTTCGCGGGCGCGGTGGAGGCGGACCGCGTGGAAAGCCCCGCGGCGGCGCGCCGCCGGCCTGCGGCGCCGCTGGGCAGCCGAGCGGCGCCGCTGCGTCCGCTATCCCTGGACAGCCTGCTGCCCGCCCGACGCCGCGGCCGAGAGCGCCCGACTTCGCTATGCAGTGAGGACGCGCGGCAATGAATGGTCTTAGGGTCGCTGCTCGGCTTACGCCGTCTCCGCCCGCGGTGCTAGGGCCCTCAGGCTTCGCGCGCGCGCGTAACGCAGCCGAGGCGGCGGCTCTGGAGCCATGATGGTTGTTCGCCTGAGACGTCCTCTTCGGCGCATGCGGGTGGCGCTGGCTCCGGGGTTGGCCTGGTGGGTGCCGCCTGAGACGTCCTCTGGCCCGCCCGTTGGCGGGGGCGGGCCATGAGGCCCCTGGGCATGCCCCCGGCATCGAGGGCCCCACCGTGGCTGGCGCCTCCCCGAGGCCAACGTGGAGCCCTGGAGGGGGCCGAGGCGCCTCCGCCCTCGGGCCCCGCGGGCCTCGCGCGGCCCCCTGGCTGCTGTGGGGGCGGGGCCGCGGGCGGAGGAGGCGCAGAAGAGGCGCCTGGACCTGCTCCGGGCGCGCCGCCTGGCCACGCCGGCCCGCGCGCAGGGTGCACGGCGTGCCCGACGGCCCCCTCCGACGCCCCCAGCCGCGCCAGGCGGAATGGGGACGATCGGGGAGGCGCTCGGGCTTCCGGAGGCCCGCGCCAGCAGGCGCCGCGGCTTCTGCCCACCCACCCACCTGCGGAGTGTGTCGGGGCGCCTCCTGCCCCCAGCCGCCCCGCGGGGCCTCCGCCCCGCGAGCGGGCTCGGGCCTCTGGAGGCTCGCGGTGCGAGGAGTCCTGGTCTGCGCGGGGTGCGGTTTCCTGCCTGACCACCCTCTGCCCCCTGAGGCCTGGAAGGCCTGGTAGTGCTCGGTGCTTGGGGTCACGCCGTCGAGCTTGCTGGACCCACCCTTGCATTCTGCCGTCTGCGCGGCGCTCTGGCCCAGCCGTCGGCCCCTCGCTCCCGTCTGTGGAGCGCACTGCAAAGGTCTCGCATCCAGCAATGGCGCGACGTACCTGAAGGCTCTTGGGGCATGGAGCGGCCCCATGACAGGGGAATGGAAAAAAAGGCCTCCTTGACCGCTCCTCCCTTCGGACGACGCCACTGATTGGCTCCGTCTCCGACACCTCGCCTCGCGGTTTTCGCCTCGCGCGTGGACTCTCACTTTCGCTCTATCTCATCGGGTCGCGCGTGCTCGCCCTTTTCCGTTCCCCCGTCCCGGCACACTCGAACTCGAGTTGGTGGTGCCTCGATGGCTCTACAGCGGTCCAGGTGCTACACTATCAAATGCACGGTCGCCAGGCGTGAGAGGAAAGCTCCAGCTCAGCATGCGGCTCCCATGTTTCCTGCAGCCCCCTGCGCCTGCGCTCCGGCTCGGAGAAGTTCTTGCCTACGAAGACAACGAAAGCGGAACCACGAGCACAGTGCTCAGCTGCGCGCTGCGGTGTACACGACCTGTACCTCTGTCACAACACCACTTCCCCACGCTCCCAGACCGCGACGCCCCTGTGCCAGACCAGCCGTGCCGGCCACCCCACCGCGAGGCCGCGCACTCGTGTCACGTGGCCACAGACGTGTGCGCCTCACCACCGTAGCTCCATGTTTCGGAACCCTGGGTTAGATCTGGCACTTGTTGCTCGCCGGCGAGATACCCTGATCCCGTGTCCATCCGCTGCCGTGCTGCAGGCACCGAGTGAAGTGTCTTTGAATATTTCCCTGTTCTCTGTGCTGGGCACCGACATCAGGTGCCACGCGTGCCGTGGCTCTTGCACGATCAGGCAGCGAGGGTATTGGGGGCCACGGCCAGGGGTGGGCGAACCACGACGACCACGGCCACGAACTTAACGAGCTCCAGGGACAGTTTTGATACGCGGGTCGAGAGTGCACCTCTTCCGGTCGAAGCTAAGCGGGACGCGCGAAGCTTGAATTAATCAGAGATGGGGGAGGGAGCTCCAGGGGCAGGGGGGGCGGCGAGGCTGGGGCCAGGGCCAGCGGTGGACCAGGGGAGAGGGAGCAAACGACGACCACCAGCACCGTGACGAAAGCAACGGGGTTTGGGGCCGGGGGGGCGCGAGCGGGCCGGGGCCAGGGCCAGGGGCAGGGGCAGGCCGGAGGGGACGAACGACGACGACCGCCACCACAAAAATACGCGTCGGTCGGAAGAAGTAGGTAGAGGCATGAAGTAGGAAGGCGGATATAGTGGATTGGGTCCAGGTCCACCCCGAGAATAACAAAACACAGCAAAAGCATGCCGATTCTTGAAGTAGGAAGGCGCTTGAAGTAGATCGGGATCTGGAAATTCAAAAAAACCTACTTTCAACGACCGTCGTGAAACTTGCCCCAGATCCAGGGAGAGCGCAGGTGTGGGGCCAGGGCCAGGGGTGGGCCAGAGGACATGGGACGAACGGCGACGACCATCACCACCACCACCACCAAGAAAACATCCAGCTCAGTTGCCAGAGGAAGCAAGGCAGTTGGAGCCAGTGCCAGGGATAGACCATGGGAGAGGGG